CAAAACCATGTATATCACTGCACGTGTATATATGTATGAGATATCGAGGGGAGAGGCAGGAAAGCCCTTGCCATGAGAACAGTTCTCAGATCGGACTTCTGTCAATGATTACACCGTCTGATTTCTCTGTGGGAGTTTATGGATTCCTTTAAAGTTGTGTTAAAGAGATATTGACATGTAATCCATTGTAACAGCAGGTGTCTTGTTTTTAAGTAAATCACCTTTTTCTCATCAAAGCAAAGTTTAGAAATCCCTAGAAGTGCCTAAGAAAAACACCACGTTGGATTCCATCCCTCTGCCCAGGGGTGAATTTGAGTGTCTGTGATGCAGAAGGGGCTTCGCCCGCTGCGCCCTGGGGGAGCTGTCAGTACTGGGGTGGAGCCGGGGACCCCAACACGGGTCCGTGAGGGGCGTCCCTGGACAGAGCTCTGAGCCCCACGCCGGGTGTCCGTCAGACCCATGGTTCCCTCCCTCCAAACAACCATGTTCTGGAGCCCGCCGGCCCGAGCAGCGCGGTGCCAGCACGCGGCTTGCAGAGGAACGTGGGGCAGCGTGAGGAGAGCAGCCCCCTTCCAGTTCCCAGGTAGTCTTCGGTGGCTGCAGAGCAGACGTCCCTCACCTCACAACCCCAGGGACACCCCACGGGTACACGGGTACGTGGAACCCACCTTCTAGAAGAGAAAGGTGTTTCGTGCCTCCTAGCACACAGGAACCTGAATTCCTGTGCCCTGCACAGTCTGATGTAGGGAGGCTGTCTCCATTTCTGGGTTGGGACACTGCTGGGTTCTTACCGCTTCACAGCTCCATTCCTTCTGTTTTGGAAGAAGGGCTGCTGGAGCACAAAAAATCTGAAACTCATTACAGCAAACTATGTTACTTGAGTCACTCTGGTTCGAACATAAACAGGGATTTTCGGATCTATGTAAAATGTCACAATGTGAAATTCTTACAGATGTAGATAATTTTTAGGGGTTTAAGGCTTATCATTTTTAGATGTTGTTACTCCAGTAGCAGCAGCAGCGGCTGTGCCCTGACATGCTAAATACTGTTCAGAGATATGTCTGAAACAGTCCTTGCCACAGAAGTCTTACAGTAGAATGTAATTAGGGTTCTCTATTCTGTAATGTGCTATATTAATTAGCAGTCAAAATCCAATTTTTAAAGCCCAGCTTTGAAACGTATTTGCCCTTCAGGCCACATATCGTACCGTCACAGCTTGAAGCGGCCTGTGTTCACTGAAATGGTTGTAAAATAAACTAAATAAAATGCATGTCTGCGTGTATTTTCTGATTAGAAGGAAGGGGGGGACACCTTGCCTTCCCCTTTTAGAACAATTAGTGGTTTATTTTCAAGTTGCACGTGCAGGCTGTACAGTTTGTGCAGTTAGGTGCAGTAATGAAGTAAACCTTTGCAGGACGGCCTGAACTTGCGTGGAGAACGGGGACATGTTTCTTCCCAGCTTCAAGGAGCAAAATAAAAATAAAAACTTTCGGTGGGTCAGACTCTGCCCGTCTGCGCCCCGCCATGCTGGGGTGGGCTGCTCGGCCGCTGGGATCGTCGGTGGTACGGCAGATAAGGAAATCTTCTGAGCAGTTTATTGTTTATTCTGAGTCAGTTTTTTGTTCTGTGGAAACGGATTGTTCCTCCGGGCAATTTCAGGTTTTGACTGCTGGTCCTCCTTCTCCCTCCTCCCCTCCTCTCCCTTTCTGGAATGAAAGAGGGAAGGCTTGAATGCACATTGAACAGTGGTCCTAAATCTGGCTTCACCATGAGCCCTGCTCAGAAATTTACATTTTCATGCTGGTGGAGGGATACATGTGAATCTCAATGATCTTTCAAAATTTTTCTTTAAATAAAGGCAAAGCTGTTGCTTACCATTCATCCTATTGTGTGGGGGCACAGGACAGCCAAGGCGCAATATTTTATAAAGGAAGAACCTTGCACAGAGCTTCCGTTTTCATCTAAACGGTGTATGTTTTGCATCCTCTTCTTTCCCTTCTTTCCTGTTCTGCAATTTGACAAAACCATTTTTTCAGAGTATAAATACAAGAAGTTTATGTGACAAAGTCAGCGGTATTTTCTTTAGCTGAACTATAGAAATTAATATAAACTTAAAAATGAGATTGCTTTTAACAAATGAAGATGCTAGTAAAGGCACCAGTTTGTTGAAGATGTACTGGAAACATTTTATTCATACACTGTGAAAGCTCACAGGACTCTTTAAGTAATCTTGAGTTTTGCACATGCACCTTCTCCACAGAAAAAAGAGGAAAGTCTTGACAGAGACGGTCTGAATAGTTTTCAAATTGCTGCTTTCTTAAAATAAAGTACTCATAGCCCCATTCCTCGAGGCAGAAATCCACCCTCTGTGCGTGGGTCCGTCTGAAAGAAGGATGAAATGCTGCAACTTTGTGCTGCTTGGCCTTGGAAAACATCAGGTGGCAGGTGTCACCGTACCAGCCTTTGCTAAATACGGAAACTTTCCGTAATTATCGTGTGTGTTTTACAGCTGCGCTTTGACCAAAATCTCCCCCTCAGTCCCCAGAGGGGCTTGAGGCTGCAGGCTGGGGCTGTGGGTGGGAGCGTCCTTGGGCACTCCGCGGTCCCAGACTGGCGAGACTCTGAGCGTGAGGGGGGAACAACGGTGGTGGGTGCTGCAGGGCAGGGAGAGCGTGGCCCAGGGCAGCCGACGGCGTCGTGGCCAGGAGGCCAGCTCGGAGGAACCTGCGGCCCCAGAGGCTGGCGGAGCCCCCCGCACACACCACTTCATCCAAACGAGCGAACAAAGCCGGGGCAGGGGAGGCATTTCTCAGCTGGAGCAGAGTTTTGTCATTTGTTGCATGATGTAGTGCCAGACCCAGCGCTGCGGTCGACAAGGAAGATCGTGGCGGGTTTTTCTATGTGTCTCCTAAAGCAAGGTTTCAGGTCGGTTGCAGAGGCGCAACTCTCCCTACATACTTCAGGCTGAAAAATTTAGTGTGAGTGAAAACAAAGCCTTATGCAGCCTGTTCTGAATTAGACTTAGCTTTTAGGTCACGAGCAGGTTTAGTAAGGAGATATTTTGTTGAAATATTTCATTCACCCTAAAGCTTTGTATTTATTTTCTGATTTGAGCAGTTTTAGTTTCTAGCATTAGGAATATTTAAATCATTGTATTGTGGTTTTCCCCTGTGAAGCGGGGGATTTTGGCAGTGAAGAAGAGAAACTTAGTTGGTTTGTCCTCAGGAAGGACATGCCTGATGATTAACAGGAGTTAATTTGCTGGTAATTTTGATCTGTAACCTGTCAACCATTCCACATGTGCATTTCTGTGAAACACGGCACTCACAGGGCAGATTTTTGAATTACAAATATCTTTTTCTTTATGAATGAATTTCCTTAACAGGCTTCCAAGTAATAAATAATGCACTCAAATATGTCAGTGCGTTTCCTCACTTTTAATGACTAGACACCAAAAAGCCTGATTTTCCCTCGGGCATGCCCACCACCCCGTACACCGAGGAGCGCTGGGGCGGTCCCGTCCCGACCGTCCCCTCTGCTGGGACCCGAGGCCCCCGGAGACGCGGTCCCGGGGTGGTGGCCGTGGGTCCGTGGTCCTGCAGTGGCTGTTGCTACATGTGCCGTGGCCTAGGGACCACACTAAGTTGTTCAGATCGCCTTCAGCGCATCGTTAATGTCTCCCCGACGGTTGTTAGCATTGTTGGCGTTAGCGTTGAAAATAAAAATACTCCAGCATGCTGTTCAGGTTGGAGCGGGGAGTGTCAGCCCCGGCTTCGGGGTGAAGAGCAGCAGCCAGCGGGCTCCAAAGCACCCGCTGCATGCGATGTACCTTGTGTCCAGGTACTGCATTACACACTTCAGCTGGAATCTCTGGCTTTTGCCGTAAATGAAGGCTTACACATGATAACAGACAGTGGGAGTTTCCTAGTCATCTGCCTTTCACTGGAAATGAATAATAGTACAGTCAAAACCAGCTGGATAAATTTTTGCTGGTTTTTTTATTGTTTGTAAATCGCGACGTGGTTGTGGTTTGTGTTAGTAACACACGTAGGTGCTTCGGATCTGGGTTACGGCAACAGGATGGGACAGTTTGCATTACAAAGTCTGCAGACACATGGGATTAATTTGCGTGTAATTTGTAATGGTTACTGTAAAAGTATAGGTAAGGTGAACACCTCCGCTGACATGAACCCTCCCTTAATGATGGAAACGATGCTGTGGTGGCACAGCTGTCTGCACAGAGAAGTAAACAGCGTCGACGTGAAGAATTTTTAAACAGCTGTAACTGCATCCCAATTCTTTTAGCTTATTGCCTTTTATTTCCTCTTTGGTTTTTTTCTCTTTACTTCTGCCAGTCCAGAGGCTGCGTGTGAGAAGATTACGGTGTGACAGCTGATAATTCAGTGTGTCGTCCTGATTTATTGCACATTACCAAACCCTGTTTTGAAATAGAGTTACTTAGCTTACAGTCTTGGTTGCTGTGGTTATGCATAAAGTCATTTCGGCGTGCAGAGTCAGAAAGCCGCGATGAAGACACGGGTTTTGCAAATTCGCAAGGAGGAAAAGTGTATTTGATGCTGTGGGTTCACTTCTTGTTTCACGTGCTCCTGTTCTGGCAACCCCTGGGCTTGAGCTGGGCCTCCCCGTGAGCGCAGGCAGAGGTCCTGCAGGTGGCTGGAGGCAGAAGCTTTGGAGTCCCAGACTCTGAAAAAATTAAGTCGCTGCCTCAATTTATACCTGGGGGGAGCGGGGCAGGACAAGAGGGTGGTGTCAAATAAAATCCACCCAGTAGTTGGGCGTGTGCTGATTTTAGGGTGAATCGGATTTGGCGCCCAGGGGACTGACAGCTTTCCTTTCGTGAAGACAGAATCAGTTCCTGCACTTTGGTACATTCAGAGTCTATTACCAGTTTCAGTAAGTGCAGTAATCACAATGTTGAATATATTATAGAAAAATACTCTTATAAATTAAATATAATTAAATTTACTTCTGTTTTTCAGGAGAAGATGTGGACTGGTCCATCTGTAATAAGGACTTAGAGGTAACAGACAACCCAGTTGTACCAAAATTCTTTATGTTTGTTAACGTGCAGAGTGAGATAAACGGGATTGAAAAGTCCGTGTGTAGCTTTTGTGTGGAATCCTTACAGCATCCCGCCAAGGGCGGAGGAAGCCCGAGCTCCCGTTCTGTAGGAGGGGGTTCCCTCATCGGGGCAGGCCCACGAGCCGGGGGGAAGAGGACGCCAGGAGCCGTCGTGCCTCCGCAAACTCGCGAGGAGGAGGGCGGCTGCTCCCTCCCATCCTCTTCGGAGGCTGGCTGTCGTTTTGGGGCAGCTCGGTCCCGTTCCCACCGCGGCTCCCGGGGGACCGCTGGGCCGGGGGCAGCAGCGGTGCGGCCGCAGCCGGGAGCGCTCATCGGGAGGGGGCCCCAGCTGTAAGGTCAGCTCCCTCCATTGCTCTTCCCGAGGTTTGGCAGAGCTTACGTGATCAGGGGATATTAACAAATTCTTTCCCTTATGAGAAATGGTATTTTTGTACCTCTTCCCTTCCTTCTCCAAAATCTGATTTCAGTATTTAAAAGCAATAAAGGTTGAAGGCAGGATTTTCAATTCTGTCTGCCTACAACAGAAAGTATGTGTGAGGTCACTGGGAGAGAGAGGGTTGTTTCCAGCTTCTCTTTTTTTTCTTCTTTTTCCTTTTTAAATCTTTCTTTACAATTGCAAATTGCAGATTTGGTCTAGACTTGTATGGCATTGTACTTTGTCCAAGAAGTTTCCCTTAATGTGTGCAAGGGAACGTGTAACTTGCATTTGCAATTAACGTTAGTTATATTTGTATTCTGGGAAAAGTTCCAGTTTGTCATGAAATAATAGCACAGCGAGTAAAAGTGTCTTGACTCATTAAGGGAAAGCAAATCTTCATAACTGCTCTTTTAAACAGCAGAGTAGAATGTCCCAAAGTGGAGGTTTGAACAAGACTTTTCTTTCGACAATGCAGGTTTCTCTATAACACAACTACCCCGTTCCAACCTCTATGTGTAAATTGTACTTGTGAAAAGTTAGATTCCTAACTGAACACTGCCAGCAGGGCACTTCACAGATTTCCAATTCTAACCACAGAATCCCAAATGATTTCTCTTGTGTTGTCTCCCAGGCACAGATCTCCAACTATGCGAGGGTGAAGCACACCAGTACGCGATACTACACCGCTGATAAAAACGTCACCTGTAGGAATTGCAGCAGACCAGGTCATTTGTCCAAGAACTGTCCTACCCCAAAGGTAAATGCAATACCTCAATGACTTGCGGATGCAGCTGGTTTTTTGTAAGACTCTTTTGCATTTGCTATTAGAAGCATTGCTTCAGGGGTTTATTCTTTTATTGAAAGGTTGCTCCCAGTTCAAGGATAGCTTGCACAGGGTCAGATTACAGTACAAAATCAGCTGTTTCATGGAGGTCATTGCTTTTGTTGTTTTTGTAAAAGAAACGATCCGTAAGTATAAACTGAGCAAAAAGGGAGTCAACTATAATATAGAAACTTTTTTTTTCCTATTGTAAAACCAGTTTCAAGATGTAAAATGTTTTTCAAGAGATCCTATGGGATCCAAAAATCCCCCTTAGGAAGTGATTGAAAGCTGGTATCATATAATGAACCGTGGTGTGAATAATGTTAAAAATTACAGACAAGGTGAGATTGCAGATAGCTTTAGGCAGCTCATATAGATGCCAAATATTCAGAAGTTTGTCTGTGGGTTGGAGGTTTACAACCAGTCACTCTGCTGTGAAGACCTGGGGACAGTTGTGTGAGTGTGGGGATTTTGCCGTCATCCCTGAGGCTCCCCGCGACGGCGTCCCGCCGGGCTGCAGCCAAGCCCTTGCTGGGCACACGCGCTCGCTGGGAAGGTGCTTCGGGGAGGTGCAGGTGTGGCCTGGGAATGGCTCGCAGCATCTGTGCTGACTGTCGGGGTGCCGGGGCACGTAGCCCAGGGATTGTGTCAGGCCGAGCCCAGCCAGCCCCTCACTTACGCGCCCCGTGGGGAGGGGGGAGATGGCGGGGAAAAACCAAGAGGAGATCCTGGGTCCAGATAAAGGCAGTGCAGGGAGTGAGGACGAAAGCCCCAGGGGTCAGAAGCAGGGGCTCAGCACAGCGGGCCGGTGCCCAGCCCGTCCCTGCGCAACGGCCGCCTCGGAAAACCTCCCTGCGCCGGTTCTGCTGACGGTGCTGGGGCACAGCGGGCTCAGCTGGCCTGGCCCCGTCCCCCCGGCTGGTCCCTGCTGGCAGCGCCGGAGTCTGTGCCACAGAACACTGCAGCACAAACTGCATCGTGTTCCCACCACACAGTTCAGGTTTTCTGCTTTTACTAAATGTAATAAAAAAATAAGAGTTCATACAGACTGCCCAACACTTCTGCTCTGAGTGAAATGTACTTTTTGGTTTAATGATTATTTTTGCTGTATTCACTGAGCAAGTAACACAGACACTGGGCATTTAATGAGCTCCTGATGCAAGGTTCGAATCAAGAAGGTCCAGGGAGCCTGTAAAGTCACAACGTTGAGTTTTACTCTGTTCATAGTCTTTCTTCACTTAATTCCTTGATGAAACATAACACCTCTGCAGTTCCTCAGCAGTAGGTATTTATTTGGGGTGGATTCTTCTTCATTTCTTCTTGTGATTTTTTTTCATCTTTGATTTTTTGAGACATTCTCACCTAACGTAATTCTGTTTTTGGTTTCCCCACAGAAAGTTCCCCCTTGCTGCGGGTGTGCAGAGAGAGGTCATCTATACAACAGCTGCCCGGCACGTTTTTGTCTGAACTGCTGCTTGCCTGGCCACTATTTCAAGGAATGTCTGGAGAGACCCTATTGGAATAAAGAGTGCAACCGCTGTGGTATGAAGGGGCATTATGCTGATGTGAGTATAGCCTCTGGCAAAGAGCTCAGTCACTATTGGTTTGTGTCCATCAAAAATTGAGTTTAAAATGACCACAGTCCTTGCTTATTTTCTTTAGTTTTATATAGTGCATATTTGTATAAGCACATGACAATATTGTAGTTAGTCGTCACCTAACAGCCACACAATTTTCACAAAGCGTGGTTCGAAGGAAACAAACCAGAGCGCTGTAAACACTCAGTCTTTATTGTCCAGTTTAGTTTTTCTGTCCCATTGAATGGAAGGTGTAGAGAGATTGAGATTAGGAGACGTGGTATGCTGCAAGCGTGCCAGCAAGAAGCAAAGAATAACTCTGGTTCTCCAACAGTTCCAGATCTGTGTTTTTTTCACTATGATCACGTATTCGTCAATGAAAATATTATTAGAAGTTACAACTAACATCTAAATGGGTTTGGGAGCCATTTATAACTGTGGTGTATTTTACATTGCAAACGTACTTTATGAGCAAAATGGAAATTGGGGACTTTATTTCTCATGCAAGTAGAGGTGAATAAAATTTTATCTGACATTAGCTTATGAGGAAGCAGGTCTACAGCCACATTCATGTGCCTTTTCTTAGTTCCTGCCTGCTTTTCAGTGAAGTCCTCTATTATTTATGAACATGCAAGAAGAAAGATAATGGTGAAATTAATTGTCTCTCTACTTCAGTATTCCTACAGACAGGCCCATCACGTATGTAGTGTAAGGGAATTTGTAAAGTAGTGGAACAGTTGCAAAATTGTGTACTCTGCTTTTAAGAGGAAATTATTGATATTTTGCTGTCTTAATCCCATGGGAACCACCACACTGGCATTTTCTACCTTCACTACTGTCGTTCAAAACCCAACTATTTTACCAAGACCAGCTCACACCACTTGGGTGGACACCGGGGTCCCGTTGGCAGTCGCTGCAGCCCCTGGTTCTGCCGTGTTACGCTGCCTCTCCACCACAGGCACTGGAGAGAGGAAAGTACTTGGTGTAAGCAGTAACGTGGGCAGCGCGCCTGGGGCGCAGCGGCTGAGCAGGAGCTGGGCTGGGGGCGCACCCCCTGCCCACGCAGGGGAAGGGGTTCACGCTCTGCCCGGGGACATGGAGCCCACGAACACACGCGTTCTGCTGTGAGATTTTGCGGAGCGTTCAGAGTTGTCTTGGATGAATGAATGAGTGACTCTGGCACAAAACCAGGCATGGAAATACTAAAAATGTCCAAGTACTGTAAGGATACCGAAGTACGTGAAAGGGCATCCAGGTACGGTGTGTGCTCTGCACTGAAGAACAGGTGGGAGGAAAGTGTGAGACTTCATTTGGCTGAGACTCTTTCCCTCAAAACTTGTATCGTTTAAACTGCATCATTATGGAAATACACTCTTCAGTGCATGACCAAGCACAAGATAGACAATATCTTAAAAATATTTCTTCAGTTCTTCTGAATGCATTTTGAAACAGGTAGGAACTGTTTTGCTCTTGACAGTCAGCCCAAAGCTGTTGTTACGTGGAAGTTCGTAGATAAAAGAAAGATGGAGAGAGGCTTTATACCAGAGATGGTAGTGACAGGATGAGGGGGAACGGTTTTAAACTGAAGGAGGGTACAATTAGATGAGATCTAAGGCAGAAATCCTTCCCTGTGCGGGGGGTGAGGCCCTGGCAAAAGTTTCCCAGAGAAGCTGTGGCTGCCCCCTCCCTGAAAGGGTTCAAGGCCAGGTTGGACGGGGCTTTGGGCAACCTGGGCTGGGGGAAGGTGGCCCTGGGTGATCTTTAAGGTCTCTCCCAACCCAAACCAGTCTGTGACTGTATGATACCACACAGGTCAGTTCTATGCTAATTAACAGGAATTCTGGATGTGAGGAATGTAATGTCATGCACCACCACTGCAGACTCTGGAAAAAATCTAAAGATTTTGGAGAGAAACGTTTAAAATTATTGCTAACATCATGTAGGCTAAGTAGAAGCTTCTACCGGTATTTCAAAATACACGTATATACATATATACATATATATATATATATATATATATATATATATATATATAT